GGCCCGGTGGCGCACTGCTACAGTGCGCCGCTTGGGAGCGTGGCAGCACTCCCGCCAAGGGTTCGGATCCCATGTGGAGACCGGTTCCCGCTCACTGGCTGAGCGCGGTGCGGGCGCAACACCGAGGGTTGCGATCCCATTACCGGTCAGTAAAAAAAGACAAAAAGGAAAAAAATAAAAAATAAAAAAGAAGACACTGATCTAGGTAAGAAAAAGAAGTGGAAGCCTATTTTTTTTTTTTTTTTCCTTTTTTTGTCTTTTTTCGTGACCGGCAACGGATCGCAACCCTCAGTGTTGCCCCCGTACCGGACCGGGGACCGGCAACGGGATCGCAACCCTCGGGGTCGCTCCCGCGCCTCGCTCAGCCAGTGAGCGGGAACCGGTCTGTATGTGGGATCCGAACCCTCGGGCAGGAGCACCACCACGCTTCCCAAGCGGCGCACTTATCCAGTGCGCCACCAGGCCGGCCCACAGTCCTTGTTTTTTACCTCATTTGTTCTTGGAAAGTACACCACGGTGTATATTTTATTTTTCTCTCAGACGCTATAATTAGAAGATATTTTCCTTATCAGAGAGTTACTGTCAGATCACAGCTATGAATAATAGTACATTATCAAAGAAAAGGTATAGCCCTAAAACTCCATAGGCAATTTATAAAGAAAAATTGGGTAGGTCCACATCAAAACAAGACACCATTGTCATCTTACTGACTCTGAGCCAAAGAATCACTAAGTGTACATCCTATAGTTCCACTTATAGAGTTAAAGGGCATAGGAAGAAAATGACCACAATAGTATGTTGTTGTTTTTTTCATCCAGCTTCTTTTGAGTGGTAAACAAAGTTTTTGCTATAGATTAAATTCTGTGAATTCTTCTCTTCAGGTCACTTAACTGATTTTTAATCATCTTTTTTGTTTTCCAAGAACAGCTTCAATTCCTTTTTTTAAGTATATATTTTATATTAATAATGAAAGGGATATCAAAAATAATATCTTTTGTACATTTTTATTTCAGGAAAATCCTGAATTTGATTTACATTTTGAAAAAATATATAAATGGGTTGCCAGCAGCACTGCTGAAAAGAATGCATTTATTTCATGCATTTGGAAATTGAATCAGCGATATCTCCGGAAGAAAATTGATTTTGTCAATGTTAGCTCACAGCTTTTGGAAGGTAAAGTTAAATAAAAGTGTATATGTAAAATCAAGTATACCTTTAAGTGAATATATAATTTGACATTATACAAAGTAATTAGAATACTGAATTACCTTATCATAAAGGAATTTAAAAATAATTTTTCTTATTGCAGAAATGATGCTTGTTCATTAAAGAATATGTTTACATTAAATTAAATAAATAAAAATCACTTGTAAACTTATTCCTCAGAGATGACTACTGTTAACATTTTGTTAGATTTTCTTCTAGTATTTGTCTAGTCATAGATTTTCTTCTATGCATGTGTAAATACTTTTTGAAAATAAAGAAATTTGCACTTGTAAACTTATTCCTCAGAGATGACTACTGTTAACATTTTGTTAGATTTTCTTCTAGTCTTTGTCTAGTCATAGATTTTCTTCTATGCATGTGTAAATACTTTTTGAAAATAAAGAAATTTAGTTATTACGGTAAATACTTTTTGAAAATAGAGAAATTTATATTCTATTTCCTAACATACTTTTTCATATAATGTATCATGAACATTTTTCATGTTATTAAATACTTACCCTAACACCATAGTATTCCATTGTATGGATATCCCATAATTTATTTAACTAATTCATTCATTCATTCATTTATTTATTTATTTTGACTGGTAAGGAGGATCCCAACCCTTGGCAAGGTGTGGTCTGCACCATGCTCAGCCAGTGAGCGCACCGGCCATACCTATATAGGATCTGAACCCACGACCTCGGTGCTCCCAGCACTGCACTCTCCTGAGTGAGCCACGGGGCTGGCCCTAAACTAATTTATTTTTAATTTTCCATTCTTTACTTATTTTAAAGAGCTCTGGGATGAATATCCTTGTAGCAGTATTTTTGTGCAGAATGTAGGTATAGTGGCAAAGAACACAACTCTGGAGTCAGACTGCCTGGGTTCAAATCCTGGTTTTGCTACTTACTTACTAGTTATGTGACCTTGCATAGTTACTTAATCTCTTTGTTTCAGTTTCCTTATCTCAGAAATGGAGATGATAATAGAATCTACCTCATAGGGTTGTTGTGAGGATTAAATTACTTAATATATGAACATGATGAGAACAGTGCCAGGTACATAGTAAGTGCTCAATAAATGCTAGCTATTATTATTATATTATCAGTATAAAATTCTTAGACGTGAAGTTAATTAGGATATTTGTGATCAGTATATCTTCAGGAATGTTATTATGGATTATTTTGTTTTAAGACAAAAACTCTACTGTTAATTATTGAAAATGTACAATGAGATTTTATATTTTTAGAGTTTCTTTCATAAAGACATAATCATTGTAAGAAAATGGTTCTGTATGCCTTGTGGTTGCAATTAGTATTGTATTCTTTATCCCAAACAAAGCAGTTCAAATAACAGCAAGTATACAGGTGAACAGAGTTGTTGCTCTTCTTTATTGAGGAAAAAACTTAGATTTGTCCTAATTTATATAGTAGAAAACTTAAATTTGTCCAAAGTTTTATAGTAGCATTTAAAAAGAGAATCTTCTGTTTTAACATGTTGAAGCATCTGAAATTGCCCATATTCAACCATTTTAACCTACAAAAGTGGCAGTTTTGGATGCTTCACACTATTATTTAGTCACTTTCCTCGTCTCTTTTTTGTTTTGTTTTACTTATTCCTTTTTCTACATGGCCATGGACCTTTCTCTCCTTAAATGTAGTATTCTTTCCCAGCACTTATAAATTAGTGAGCCTGCTACTAGTTTTAGGCTTGATGCTTGGAACTGACAGAGGAGGCAAGTTACATGTGTCAGACCCTGTGACGCACCCCCTAGTGGGGCTGGTCTTGTGTAGGAACCCCCACAGTTGCCATCTCACTAACATTAATCCCCAATGTCTTGGCAATTGAGTGTGTTGAAGGAATGACCTTCAAAAAATTTATGGTGGNGAACCCTTGGCGGGAGCGCCGCCGCGCTTCCCAAGCGGCGCACTGTAGCAGTGCGCCACCGGGCCGGCCCTGGAAGCCTATTTTGTAATAGCTTTATTGAGATACAATTCACATATAAAACTCACCCTTTTCAAGTGTATAATCTGGTGGTTTTTAGTGTATTCACAAGGTTGTACAGACATCACCAGTATCTAATTTATGGACATTTTCATCACACCAAAAAGAAATTTCATACCCATTAGCAGTCACTCCTCCATTCCTCCTTCCCATTTAGTCCCTGGCAACCACTAATTTTTCTGTCTCTATGGATTTTCCTATTTTGGACATTTCGTATAAATGGAATCATAAAGTATGTAGTTTTTTGCATCTGGCTTCTGTCACTTAGCATAATGTTTTCAAGATTCATCAATGCTGTATAGCATGTATCAGCACTTCATTCCAAATAATACTCCACTGTGTGGATATGCTGTGTTTTGCTTCAATGTTTATTGGTTGGTGTGTTGTGAGGGTGCTGCACGGAAAAGGAGCCAGAACACCCATGTGAGAATTTAAAAGGGGGTTTTTATTGGCCATCCGGCAACTGTCCAAGAAAAGTCTGAGAAGGGAGCAGCCCTGAATTGAAGTTTATAGGGATTTTTAAAAGGTACATTTTTACATTAGTCAGACAAAGTTATCATATAGTTACATACTTAAAGTTATCATATAATCACACACATTATCTCCTAGTGTGAGGAGGGATGGGGAGGACTAGAGCAAGCTGATAACAGAAGCTGAAAGAAGCCAGTTAATAGTTCAGGGGTATGAGAAGGGGGTTTGGGGAAGCCTAGTGCAAGCTGATAAAAGAAGCTGAAACAAGCCTGTTAATCAATCGCTCAGGGGCAGATTGGGTGGGGAACATTAAACAAAATTCAAACTTCTCTAAGTGCAGGATAATATTTAGCTTTTAACTTCTATCAAGGCAGGGCTAAAGAGCCGAGGGGATTTTTAAACAATAGCATTTTTTAAGCAATTCAAACACCACTTAAACTTAATTAATCTATCTTGTCACACAGCAAGCAGTTTCACTGAAGTTTCAAATGTTATGAAAGTGGGGGTCTCCCTATCTCAGGTGGACATTTGGATTGTTTCTACTTTTTAGCTATTATAAATAATGCTGCTATAAACATTCATGTATACCTATTTATGTGGACATGTTTTCAGTTCTTTTGGGAGTGGAATTACTGGATCGTATAATAACCACATGTTTAACTTTTCTGAGGAACTGCCAAGCTGTTTTCCAAAGCAGCTGTACCATTTTACAATTCCACCAGCAATGTGTGAGGGTTTTATTTGGAGAAATGTCTATTCGAATCTTTTATTCAGTTTTTAATTGGGTTATTTGTTTTTTTATTGTTGAGTTGAAAGAGTTCTTTATATAGAAAACTAAAGATTGAGCATAGGTTTTAAGTTTTTTTTCTTAAATCGTGTGTGTGTGTGTGTGTGTGTGTGTGTGTGTGTCTTAACACTTAGCACTTCTGAAGAATTTAGATTTTCATAACATTGGTTCTCTAATTTTATTTCCAAACTTACAGCTTTATATTTTTATGATGTAGGTATATTAATGTGTTAACTCATTTTTCCTGTGCTTACTAACCAAAGATAAGATGATTTTTAGAATCATAAATGGAACAGTAGAAGGGGGAATGATATTGAGAATAAGCTTGATATCTATACTCTGATTTTTTCAGCTGAGGAAAGATGACAGCCATCAAGCATGCGTTACAAAGAGACATTTTTACACCAAATGATGAGCGCCTGCTGAGCATCGTAAATGTCTGCAAAGCAGGAAAAAAGAAAAAGAACTGTTTTTTGTGTGCCACAGGTGGGTATTTAGTAAGAAAAAGTATTTGTTTAGCATTCTTTTATTCCCTAGAGGACATTTTCCTCTTGTTTTAAATATTCTCATTGTCTCTATAGCTGGAAAAATTGTTTGGTGAACAAATTCATTTTTTTAAAATTGTTTTTATTAAATATTGAGTAGTGGTGTGAATGAAAAATAAGTGAGTGAATAATAGTTTCTAATGAAAGTGTGTGTTTTACTCAACAGTGACAACTGAACGGCCCGTGCAGGTGAAGGTGGTCAAAGTCAAGAAGTCTGATAAGGGAGATTTCTACAAAAGGCAGATTGCTTGGGCCCTTCGAGACCTTGCTGTGGTGGACGCCAAAGATGCCATCAAAGTGTGTTTTTCTTAGTTCTTTGGCCTGTGTCAGGAAGTTTCTTTCATTTTATAACATGGTGTTGTGTATTGTAAGATGATCTAAATTTCTTGTTCTATGACTGCTGATCTAACACCTAACCAAGAATTAATCTAAAATGCATTATTCAACCTTCACCCCACTCTTAGGCAACTAAAAATAAATGCATATACATGTTTTATTATTATTTTTGAGATACAATTATGTTTGTGCACAAGCGCCATAAATTAGATTAAAGTAACTTTGACTCTAAATTTCTGTATTTCGGTTAAGTATACTTAGTATAAAATTCATAAGTTAGTATGGATTTTAAAGTGATGTGTCATATGAATTGATATTTTTAAATCTTCATTGTTTTGGTAAAACCTGATTCAAAATTATGTATAATAGAACCAAAGTGAGTCACCCTTAGTTAGTCCTCATGAGTTAATATAGAATCACCAGTTTAGGCAGCCAAGCCAGCCTTGGGCCATGGCTTTGATGTTTGTGGCTCAGGTAAAGGAAGCAATAGTGGGTTCCACACCTTATTTTAAGTAATTTAAATAATTAGATTTATAAAAATATAAATCTTACACCTTATACTTAAACCACCATCAAACTCCAAGAAAGTTGAATAAGGTGATGATCACATTAAAGGACCACCTATATTCCTGACAATTCAAGACTTTTCAGAGCAATATTCTTTTTTCAGAGAAATCAAGTAGAGCTTCTTTGATTAAATTAGGTGGTTCCTCCTCCTCCTCATCATCCTGTCTACGCTGCTACTCATTTTCCTCTGCAGCCCAAAGGCACCTTCAGAGCACTGAAGAATACTTTGTACTACATGCATTTCTACTGCTGATGGGACTAATAACAAGGCTTACACTAATGTAACTACAGATGCACTTCGACTTAACTCTACAAGTCTCATGCATTTATTAAAAAGGCACAAAGAAGTAAAAAACTACCTTTGTAAAGCAATCTGATAAAATACAATGCTTGTTTTACCCTTACCTTGGTAAAAACTTCTGAGGACCAAAAACCTGAACAAAATGATGGGTAGTTGAGTCAGGGCCCTCCCCCCCCCAAAAAAAAAAAAACCCCAAACAATTTTACGAGAGCTCTGCATATCTGTACAATTCAGATTTTTTTCAAATACGATAACACCTTTAAGTATTTTAGGCAAACTGGGCCTTTGCTTTATCCCTGAGGAACACCCAGTTTTTAGAAAAATGTGGAATGTGGAAACAGGATTTGACAGGTGCCTTGAGAGAGAGAGAGTGAGTTTGTGTTTGTGTTTAGAAAAATACTAGAATGAGATTTTTTTAAAACACTGTAATAATTTCTGTTACCATGGGTGGGAATCACGAGTAGCAACTTTTTTGGTAAGTTTCTGTTTAAGAGAAAATAATTTAAGGGCTTTTTAGAAATGCACCTTTATTAAGAAGTCTTTTTCCCTTCAGTAGTTTTGCACTTCATAACCCTGTTGACTTGCGTAATTCACTAACATCACTGAATACTTATTTGAATGCTTGTTCACAGCTGATGCCTCATTGCTGACTTGCTTAATGGATTCTTTTTTTTTCATTTTCTGTAGGCACCTTGGTGTGTGTACACTATATATGGATATAAAACATAAAATTTTTATACATAGACTAACATTAGCCATTTAGTATCACACATTGATTTGTGTGAGTGTTGCCACTGGGGCACTCAGCTTCTTTTATGGCATAATGGGAAATATTCCCAGGGAAGAGATCATTTCCCATCAAGTTTCATATTAGTTGCCAATACTCTCAGGTTTTTTTGAAAGTAATAATGCAGTTACCTTTTCATTGTAAATGCAGGTCTTTAATTTTTTGACACTTCAATTCTGTTTATTAAGCTATAAATTGAACTAATTAGTAGTTATATGCTACTGGAATATGTTTGTTGTATCAAAGGTCAAGTCCTGATTCCTAAAATCCAACTCTTCATGTAAAAGTCTGAAATAATGCCCCATGCCTTTAAGGTCTGCATTTATATTTTGTTCCCTCTAAATAATCCTTTAAACGAATCAAATATATTATTATTCTTCGACCTGGTAGAGCATTAAGAACATTTTAGCCTATTTTTAATTCCTTAGATATGAAGAAAAGTATACATCTATATGTTTTCATTTTTTATGTAATAGTCAAGTCGTCGTTGTACATTCAAGGGAGAAATATTAGCCTGGCGTGGAATTGTTGCTGATTATTATTCTTCGACCTGGTAGAGCATTAAGAACATTTTAGCCTATTTTTAATTCCTTAGAAGTGAAGAAAAGTATACATCTATATGTTTTCATTTTTTATGTAATAGTCAAGTCGTCGTCGTACATTCAAGGGAGAAATATTAGCCTGGCGTGGAATTGTTGCTATAACATGGTATAAGAGAAATGGAAAACACAACGTAATTCTGCCAGATTGGTAGAGCTTCTTTGTCACTTGGAAGAACTTTAAGGGCCACCAGCAATTTTGGCTTTTGAGATACCTTTAATCATCATATATTTTCAAAATTAAAAACAATCAGGAGCAGTCCTTGTTTTTTTTTTTTGTCTTTTGTCCTTTTCCGTGTCCGGCAACGGATCGCAACCCTCAGTGTTGCTCCCGCGCCTCGCTCAGCCAGTGAGCGGGA